AGGATGGGGAAGGGAAGTATTGTAAGCAAGTAAACTTTCCTTCATTTACTCAATGATGTGAATCCCTAAGTGATGCAAAGCGAGGGACATAGCAATGAATGAAAGTGTTCCTGGCCTAGTGGTGAGATGCAGAGTTATAGTAGGAGACATAGAGTTGACAACTAACTACATAATAATTAACAGCAATTGGGATAAGTGCTACAAAAGGTACAAGGTGCTAAGGGAACCTAAGGGAACCTGACTGAATGTTGGGAAGGTGGTGGAAGGTGATCTAAAATGGCTTTTTTGAGGAAATCACATTTAAGTTGAAATCTGAGGGGTCAATAAGAATTTACTATGTGAAGAAGAGCCTTCGAGAGAACCAACAGCTTAGGCGGAAGCTACAGTGTGAGGAACGGAAAGGACAGGAGCAGGAGTCCAGGTAAGAGAGCTTGGAGGTTCGGACTATGGTGGGTGTGTAGAAACAGAGAGAGGTAGATACGTAACTGACTGCCTAGGAGGGAGGGTGAAAAGTGAGAGCTTTCAAGGATGATACTAGATTTCTGACTGCCTTTGAGAGAACCAACAGCTTAGGCAGAAGCTACAGTGTGAGGAACGGAAAGGACAGGAGCAGGAGTCCAGGTAAGAGAGCTTGAAGGTTCGGACTATGGTGGGTGTGTAGAAACAGAGAGAGGTAGATACATAACTGACTGCCTAGGAGGGAGGGTGAAAAGTGAGAGCTTTCAAGGATGATACTAGATTTCTGACTTAAGTAACTAGGGAGATGGTTGGACTGACCAAGGTTGGTGGGAAGATTGTGAATTCAGTTTGGATGTGCTGAGTTTGAGATGCCAGTGTGATAGTCTTGCTGTGATGTTAAGAAAACAAGTGGACTACCCCAGTAATGACTGGATTAGAATCCCATTCTTATGAGTTTACTGTGAGACACAAGCTTAAACTTGGGTTAAAATGAGTGCTTACTTTCATTCAAATGTCAAACCTATTAATGTAACTAAGGGTTATTCATTTCAAATTCTTGCTGAGTCTGTAAAGTATATATAGTGCTCTTTTCTTTTTGAATCTTGTAAGACAGGCATCTGAATAGGTTTATTTCCAGCCAGCCAATCCTTTACTCTTTGCTCATCATTCCATTCCACCCTTCTTCGTTATTAAAGTAAATAATAAATTGTAAACTTAGAGCTTTACAGATTGTAAACTTAGAGCTTTATAATAGCTGTTACTCTTTTATTGCCGGAAATATCACACATCAGATGTTTCATTTAGGATATACAAAACAGAATCTTTACACTTCATATAACTTGCTTCAAAAGTATTGACCATATTTTCTTCCTAACAATTCCCAGATTCACTATATTTTTTTAAAATATGTTTTTATTGGTTTTAGAGTGAGAGGAAGGAAGAGGGACAGGGAGAGAGAAAAAGGGAAAGGGAAGGTGAGAGAGAGGGAAAGAGAGAGAGGGAGAGGGAAAGAAATCAATGTGAGAGAGAAACATGGAGTGGGTGCCTCTTGCACCCACTCTTATCAGGGATTGAGCCCACAATCTGGGCTTGTGTCCCGATTGGGAACTGAACCAGCGACCTTTTGGTGCACGGGACAACTCTCAACCAACTGAGCCACACATTCTTAAGGATAAGATCTATCTACTAGAACACTGCATAGACAATCTGGATGCCAATACAGAGGACTCAGAGAGATCTGAAATGGGGGGAAAGGCAGGAAAACTTCAGCTCTTTTTGCAATGCTTTGCTTTAAGAGGGAAGGTATGGACCTGAAGCAAAGTGTCAATGCTGACATGAGTTAGTTCTGGGTGGTGGGTATAAGATTTTTGTATTGTTCTCTGTTTTATGATACTTCCATTCCCCGCCCCTCCCCCCCATAAAAATCTCTGAATTAACAACCAAAAGATATAGAAAAAGCAATTAATTCAGAAACAATTTCACCTGTCATTTATATCTATTTTCTATTATATTTGCATTGCACTCATACACGTGGAATTTTTTTATTTAACGAAGTTCACTGCTTTGGGGTACTTAATTTCTGTGTGAAATTAACCTTATTTCAAAGCACCACTGTTGCCTGTTAGAGGAATGACTGATACTACAGAAGGCGGTGACTCACTCCTTGGAGTGGGATTTTGCTAAGAACAAAGCTCTAGACACAGACAATAGTGTGTTGGGGGATGGGGGGGGAGGGAGGCCTGGAGGTGGGAGGAGCTGCGTGGAAGGGGTCAATGGGGGGCGGGGAGGGAAAACATCTGTAATACTTTCAACAATAAAGATAAATCTTACAAACAGAACAAAGCTTTATACCTTTTGGTGGGAATAAATTATAGCTTCATACAAATGCACTTACTAATAAATCAAAGAGGAAATTAAGGGCAGTAAATCTATGACCCAAATGCAGACTAGTTTAATGGGATGCTTTTCAGAGATTTTCAAGGAGTGCCAGCAAATCCCTTTAGATTTGCAGCAATGAACAAAATGCTGTGTGGTGCTTAACCATCAAAATACACACCTCTGTGTTTATTCTTCAGAGGGAAACTTGCTGCTTACACAAAATAACCTCAGAGGCAAGGAGAGAGGAAAATAGCAAAGACAGAGCAAGGAAATGAATAATTAATTTTAAAATTAATTTTTTGCAGATAGAAGCAAAAGCCATTCAAATGATTAAAACACACACACACACACACACACACACATCAGTGTGATATTTGGTTCCAATAAAATAAATTGAAAAATATCCTTGAGTGGTTCCAAATGACTGTAGGTTTATATTGTAGTTAAGACCCTAGTTCTGGACACCATTCTAATTTCTCACAGAATAATTTATACTTTGAAATATCTTACTAATTTAAGCGGATCAAGTGTTATAATCGTTTTACATTCTTGTCCATTTTTCCATTGCTTTATTTTGACACTCTTTTCTTTACTATTTTCCCATTAATTTTCTGATATAAGCAGCTGATAAATTATTTTTTGTCACTGCTGCTTGTTGGCTATTTTAGTCAGAAACTTGTCTGTAATTCTCCAACTCCCATAAATACAACAATTGTGTTCTACTTTATATCTATAGTTTTGTCTTCACCAAAGAGGAGGCCGGGCTCTGCAGTATTAACTTCCAGTAAAATGGCATCTCTGGTTATTTTGGTATTGGGTGACGGTTTAGAGAAATAACTGCACTGGATTCTGTGATGACTTAAAGTGCCAGGAGGCTTAGGCATCTGTCCTTAGAAAATTACCACGTTAACTCCCTGCCCCAGACTGGAATGGGTTTACTGTGATATAGAAATACCACAAAGGTCCAATGTGACCCATATCATCTTGGTGCAGGTCAAAACTAAGTTGCATAGTTTTTCTTTGGGGGAGACAGCATGGTGGGGGGGAGTGAGCTGGAGGGAAAAATGATCTGGATTTAACCTCTGAGACTCCCTGCATAACTTTGGACAAGTAACTAAACCTCTGCAAAATATGAGTTAGGGTCCTCACTGGGTACATGCAAGCATGTATGTGAAAGTCACATACATGAAGTGTCTAGCAGGCATCTATTAAACATTAACTTCCTTCCCTTATAGTAACAGTCTTTTGGCTCTACCTTTAAAATAGTAAAAAAACAAAGACAAAATAACCCATACCGATTAGTGTCTCAGTCCACCGTTAATCATTTCGGTGCCTGTCATGCCTGATCTCTGATTTGCTCACTTTGGGGCCCCCTGATTTTTATAATCTCAGAGTTCAAGGGGGTCTAAAATATTATCCAGGCTTCTAAGCAGGACCCTCCCTAATTTCACAAATATCTCACTTTTAATCCATTCAAATGATTAAAAGAAAAAACATATACACACACACATCAGTGTGATATTTGGTTCCAAATGACTGTGGGTTTATATTGTAGTTAAGACCCTAGTTCTGGACACCATTCTAATTTCTCACAGAATAATTTATACTTTGAAATATCTTACTAATTTAAGGGGATCAAGTGTTATAGTCTATTTACATTCTTATCCATTTTTCCATTGCTTTATTTTGACACTCTTTTCTTTAATATTTTCCCATTAATTTGCAGATTCCTAAATGATCTGCAAACTATGACCTACTTAGGCCCAAGAATCTCTAAAGGGACTTAAAATCACCACTGGTAATGCATGACATTAATTCAAAGTCCTTACAAACAAATTCCTACTGTCTAAATGACGCACTGAAGGGCCTTTCGCTCTTTACTCTGTGACTATGGTACATTATAGGCCTATCATACAACATTCCCTGAAATATGAGAACTGTAATCATATTCCTTCCATCAGGATTCTTTCCAGGAAAACAAAGTAGTATCATTGTTTATCAAAACCATCTATGTGTTAGTTAATATGAACTCACAACACAGCTTAATAGTAGGAAAAGAAAATGGTTTGGAGGGTCCACTGTATATAATTATTTGCTATGGGGACCCTAGACAAGTTACTGAAACTCTCTGAGTTTAATTTTTTACATCTATAAATGAGTATATTATCATATAAAAATGTATATTTAAAGAATTAAATAATGCCCTAGCTGGTTTTTCCCAGTGGTTAGAGCACCAGTCCTTGAACTGATGGGTCCCGGGTTCAATTCCAGTCAAGGGCATGTACCTCAGTTGCAGACTCAATCCCCGACTGTGGTCGGGGCACAGGCGTGATACAAGCAATCGATGTGAGAAACACATCTTACATCAATGTTTCTCTCTCTCTGTTTCTCCCGTGGTCGGGGCACAGGGGTGATACAACCAATCGATGTGAAAAAGACATCTTACATCAATGTTTCTCTCTCTCTGTTTCTCCCCCTCCCTTCCCTCACTCTAAAAAAAAATAAAATAAAATAAGATAAATTGAAAAATATCCTTGAGTGAGGACTAACATACATACATACATATATACATACATAAGTAAAATAATGTAAGACATTCAAAATAGTCACTATTGTCATCTCAGTAAAATAAAAAGGCTAAAAAGGAAAAGAAAAATACATACCATATTCACTGCATCTTGATCAAAAGGGTTCCACTCTATATTCTGAGGATAGTGGGCCAGAACCTTGGATTTGAATGTTCTTTTCAAAGGACTCTGGTCAAAATTTTCACCTATATCAAATAACAATTAGTTAACATCTAGAATTTCCTCAAAAGCATGCCATAGCTTTAGTTTTATTTTGTAGCCTTACTGACTGATGGTGCTGAAATCTAATTCAATTTCTACTTCTAACAGTCTGCACCATAAAATTCTCAATGGACAAATGAAAAAAACAACAAAACAACCACCTGTAATAAAAGGTCTGCACTGAAGATTTTATATTCTGAATTTTAAAATCCTGGCTAGACAATTGATACTAAAAGTCAGATATGATATAATCCTTGCCGTAACCTAATTACTGTCCTCACTGCAATATGTAGTGGTAAAAATATCTATTTGGAAACATTTAATTTATTAAAGAAACATCCTGAATTAAGCTGATCATACCTCTTACAATCCCGAAATTTTGTACATGGACAGACCCAATGCTACAGTACTCAAAAAAGGCAATGGGCTTAAATTTCCACAAAATTCTCTGGTAAATGTGACTGCATCTCCAGGCTTTTACAAGAATTAACAGAATTAGAAACATCATTACTGAGTTGTCTAGCTTAGTAGACAAAACACACTGAACACACTAAACTCTGAAAAGAAACAATCTATTCTAAGCCAAATTCATCACCTGTCAAAAATCTGGAAAGAAAAGTAGACTAGTCTTTGATTGTTATATATAAGAAAATTTAATAATAGCTGTCAGCTCAGTTCTTCGATCATATTAACTCCCATGAGACCTGTTCCCTACAAATGCCTTAGTTTCATAAACTATTTTAATGTGGATGGATCTTAAATTCTCAATGTCAAAAAGTTGAGATTGAGAAAGTAGAAGACCTTGGAGCAACATTATTCTTTCTCCTGTGTTTTTTGTGCTTTTAATGTTTACTTTTTAAGCGCAAAACACGAGCTGTTATATCAAAAGATAAATGCCAGTTACCAGTATTTGTACCAGTAAAAATATCATAAAGCAATTTATGAGTCACACTTGGACATGTAGTCAGACTCCGTTTCCATTTTTCATAAAAATATTAAGATATGAATATTAAAACATCTTTTAGTGCAAAACAGATCACAGAAGGAGAAAAAGCACACTCTAAAACAAACATGTCAAACTCGCTGCAACAAATATTTTTGCAGCCCATTCAATATAATGGTATGTAAGAAATGTTTTAATAAAAACTTCGTAGCTTAGTTTTTACAATATCCTGTTATACATAATTATTAATAACAAACTACAACGTTCACTAATGACTAGATTACTATAATAGTGTTGCATTCATTTCCCTTACACGCCTTATGTTCAGGCCCACCATTTCTCTCCACTGATACTAGCAGCGAATATTTTAGCAGCCGATTGCCACGTCATTAGTCTTGGACTGACTTGTTTGGTGTGCGCAACAGGAAATATTTCGCTTTCAGAGAACAAGAAAAATAGGTTTATTTGCGTTACGCTTATTAATTTGTACAGTTATTCAGGGTCTGGTAAGTTAATGTTCAAGAAAAAATATTAATTTTTATTAAAATGTTCTATTATCTTATGTTAACGACTACTCATTTATTTCAGCCCTTTGTATTCAGCATGTCTCTGTCGAAATAAACTTACGTTTCTATGAAAATTGAAGCTTTTTTTTTTTTGCGGCGCACATAAACTTAAACCTTGTTTATTTGGCCCGTGTGCCCCTTTGAGTTTGACATGCTTGCTCTAAAATCTTGCTGGAGATTGCAATATAGTATCCAAGAGCTTTTTTGAATAAAGGCACATAATTTAAATAGACTTGCTGCAAGTAACCTACTGTTTCTAATTTGAGCCCTTGGCTAATGATCATTTTCCTTTGGGTTTGTTCCTCTTACTTATTTAGGCAAGCACTTCATCTTCCTACCCCATGTTTCCATCTTTTAAGAGATGGAGTAGAGAGCTTTCACTTCGAGAAGACAAAGGTCAAAGGCATCCCTAAGGCAAGTTATCCATTTTTGCACCATACTTCTAAGGGCCTGTAAACATCAAAAAGTCCATGGGAAATAGTCCATGAGTCAATGTGTCTGAAGAAAAGAGTTAGGGCTCAGAATGGTTTATTTTGGGAGGATGAATGCCATCTTTAAGCTAATACTATATTCTAGATTAGTCATTTCTTCATTTTAAAAAAAAGGTTACTTTTTAGTTCACCTCAAGTCAGAGAAAAAAATAAAACAGACACTTTCTCCTGGTTCTAAAGGTCTATCTGCTGACTGTGCTATTGACACAGCAACAGGATAGCCTCAGAAATATACAGCCACCAAGAAACGCTCTCCTTCGCCCACCGTCAAATTCCCAAAATGCTTGTTTTTATTATCCGTGAATGTAAATAAAATATGAAACACTGTGGGGCATAAGAAACAGCACATTCGCAGGACAGAATTCCTTGAAACACTTACCTTTTAATGATTCCTGCCTGAGTTCAGTTAAAATAGTAACATTATCCTCATTCATAAATGAAATTATTAATGGGACAAAAGATAAATCAGAAAAGTCACGACAGTGCCATTTTCAATATAATTGTTCTGCTCACTAAGGAACACCACATCCTCTTGAGGCCCAATTAATCAACAGAAGAGAGAGAAGGAAAACCACCTCCAGAGAGAAAAAATTCCACAAAAACAAAACCCAAAAAACTCATGAAACAGAAACCCAAATCTAACAAAAGAAAAACAGAATCATCGCCATCACCACCACCACCACCACCACCACCACCACCACCACCTCTCATTAGATTGCCAAAAAGGGGGTGGGGGCAATAGGAAAGATCATTGCTATATAAACAGCTGTCTTGGCAAATATTATTTTGAAGGAAATTGGGGGAATAAACAACTACGGAGAAATTCTGGTGACACTGTTAAGGATTTAGAAATGAGTGGGTTCAGCTATTTCCTACTAGTACCAGTCAGAGAAGCAAACCTGGAGATGCCTTTTGGAGATGTGAGATGGGGGAATAACCTTATCTTCCCATTTTGAGTCCAGGTTTCAATAAACCTCTAATTTAGACTCTATTCCTAGGACTTAGCAGGAGAAATGAGTCAGTCTAAGAATTTGGATTCCCAGGAACTAGAAATTATATGTACGCATCCTTGACTTAACTTAAAATCCACCTTCAAACATTATCCTGAAATGAACAAGGATTGTAAATTTGTGCAAATATTAATACCCCCCCACTACAACTACATAAAGACTTAATTTCAACTAATACTGTCAAGTAATCTCCTCCTAAACCTAGCTGCAATTAAGCTTTTCCCCCTAAAAAATAGGACATATCTGCCAAGAGAGCTTACAGGCTCATTAATAATTTTTTTCAAGGCTTGAAGCAAAGGCAATCTTTAAAAAAAATTAAGATGCAGAAGAAAGAATAGAAATACAAAACAATACCTATTTTTTGCCTGAGCAAAACTGAATAAAGAAACAAGTACGATGGGCTTGGGTGAATTAAAATAATGATTTCTAACACCTCAACTTTTTATTTTTACCTGAGGTCGTATTTGCAGCATCTTGGCTCCTGCCATGACGATCTGCTTCTAGCCATTGGTACAAAACTACATAATGTAACAGAAACAAAAAAGCTTTATGAACAAACAAAAAAGCAAAAAATTTGACTGTGAAGAATGGAAAATGAGAATAAAAAAATTAAACAAAAGCAATCAACATGAAACATCAACATCAATGGAATATAACTTCACACCAACAGTATACAGCTTATAAGCTAGTAATAAGAAAGGAAAGAGAATAGGTAATTATATTTTACTAGAGTCCCGACGACAAAATTTGTGCAAGGGCCTTGGCCCCCGCCCCCGCCCACCGCCGCCATGGGCCTCTGCCGCCTCTGCCTCGCCCTCTGCCCGCTGTGGCTTTGTCAGGAAGGACATCTGGTCTAATTAGCATATTATGCTTTTATTATTATAGATTGTAATAAGTGAAATGCTATTTAAACATCTATAACTGTTATTCAAATGGGGAAAAGCACACATTCTTTTCTTAATGGTAATTTGAAGAGAAATACCAGAAGAAAGCTTATGTTTCTACTGGAGGCCTGGTGCACAAATTTGTACATGGGTGGGGTCCAGCCAGCCTGCCCTGATCGGGGTGATCAGGCGGGGCCCGCCAGGAGGAGGGGCCAAGGGTAGTTGGCCAGCCGACTCCACCCCTTGGTCGAACTCCCAGTCAAGGGGACAATTTGCATATTAGCCTTTTATTATATAGGACTAGAGGCCTGGTGCATGAATTCATGCACAGGTGGGATCCGGCCAGCACGCCCCAATCAGGGCCGAGCCAGCCGTGGGGAGGGGACACAGGAGGTTGGTGGACCGCCCTCACCCCCTGGTTGAACTCCGGTCAAACTTCTGGTCCAGGGGACAATTTGCATATTACCCTTTTATTATATAGGATTATATAGGATAGTACGAGATAACAAAATATGATAGTATGACTAAGTTAAAAATTATATCCCAACCTCTACACACCTATCAGAATGGCTGCAGTCCAAAAAACTGACTCGCTGACAAGTATACAAGTGACAGAACTCTCATAAATTGCTGGTGGAAATGCAAAATGGTACACAGCCACTTTGGAAGACAGTTTGGCAGCTTCTTACAAGGCTAAACATAGTCTCATCATAAGATCCTACAGCCTCAGTATAATCTGGAGAAAAACATCAAATTCCAAGAGGAGAAATCTACAATCTACCTCATGAATACTTGTCAAAACCGTCATGATTATCAAAGACAAGGAAAGTCTGGGAAACTGTCATAGCCAAGAGGAGCCTCGGAGACGTGACGACTGACTGAGTGCGGTACACTGGCTGGGATCCTCCAACACTGAAAGGACACTAAGTACACACTAAGGAAATCTGAACAGAGTACAGACCTTAGTTAATAATGTATCAAAATTGATTAATTAATTGTAACACATGCATCATACTGCTAGAAGATGCTAATGATAGGGAAAACTACATGTGTGGACGAGGGGTGAGGGGTGTAGGAAATATGTACTATCTCCATTTTTCGGTAAATCTAAGACTGCTCTGAAAATCACATCTGTTTTAAAAATTACATTCTAACATTTCAGGTAAGGACAGAAGCACATAAGTATATTCGATATTATAAGAAGTCTACCTTCTGTAAATCACTATGCAAGCATAAGCTGAAGTTTGCTCTGTACCAAGATTCCACTTTAATCAACTATCCTCATAAGCACTTTCTACTTAGAAGTGACAACTTTGGGAGGAAAGTTTACTAGAGCGAGGACCAGGCTATGAAAGAATCCACACCAGAGCTCCATAACTGAGTGGCGCTAACGAGTGTGAGGGCAGGATTGGGGGGATGAGAGGACATTGGGGGGATAAGGACACATTTGTAATATCTTAATCAATAAAGAGAAAATAAATTAAAACAAAAACAAACAAACAAAAAACTTCTGGACGCCAGGCTGATGTAGCTCAGCGGTTGAGCGGCGACCCAGGAGGCCACTGGTTGATTCCCAGTCAGGGCACATGCCGGGGTTGCAGGCTCAGTCCCCTGTGAGGGGCGTGCAGGAGGCAGCTGATCAATGATGTTTCTCTCTCATCGATATTTCTATCTCTTTATCCCTCTCCCTTCCTCTCTCTCTAAAAAAAAAAAAAAAAACCATTAAGATGAAAAAAAAAAAACCAAAGAAAAAAACCCTTCTGGATGTTTTTATGGGTTACCTAAATGTCTACAGCTTTTAGTCATCTTTGCTGAGATGTCAGTCTCCTTTAAAGAGTCCAACAATGCAGGGTCCTCAAGGCTGGGGGAAGCTGCCTATGGGCTCCGGAACTGACGGAGTAAAGGAAAGACTAAAAGCAGCCTGAAGTCACCAAGGAGTTTATTTGGATCCTTAGGGACAGTCAGGACTCGGAACTGACCTCCACCATCAGGGACAGAGGCCCAAAGCAGACAGACCTGGCTGGGAACAGCCCCACACATCCCCTGTGTGACATGTGACGTCCCTGGCTGAGGGGGCCCTGAGGCACACAAAGTCATCTCCTCCAGGACTCTGCACTCCTCTGGGAGGCAAACAACTGGTACTGGTACGAAAGAATTCAAGAAGCACCGCACTCATTAAATACACAGTACAGGTGTTTCCTCTTTCTAGTTTGCAGGAATAATGACTACTCGTTAGAGGAGAGCGTAGTAGTATTAGAACATGACACAAAAATCTCCCCATTTGGCCCTAGCTGGTTTGGCTTACTAAGAGTGGATAGAGCGTCCGCCTGTGGACGGAAAGTCCCAGGTTCGATTCCAGTCAAGGGCACATGCCCCGGTTGCGGGCTCAATCCCCAGTGTGCAGTGTGCAGTGTGCAGGAGGCAGCCCATCAATGATTCTCTCTTATCATTGATGCTTTTATTTCTCTCCCTTTCCCTTTTTCTCTGAAATCAATTAAAAAATATTAAAAAGAAATCTCCCCATTTGGAAAAGCAAGCATCACTCTTACAAAAATGAGACACAAAGTAGGGAAAATAATCCACTAACCGGTCTAACAGAATAGGCTCTTATCTGAAACACACTGGGCCCTGATTAAGGGGAAAACTCTTGGCTGTGTTCAGGGTATCACTAGGAATATTACCATTCGTTCCAATTACTTCAAAGAGCCCTTGTTTCTGATTTCATCAGAGAAAAAGAAAACGAAATAATAATGAAAGTCGTTCCAGGTCCATCTACTCTGACCAGTGATACAGAGAATTGTAAGCAATGACGTTCGAATGCCGAGCACATCCCTCTTCTCACTGTGGCTGGGAGCATGAGATCTGGCCTTTTGGTGGCTCCATGCTTCCTCTCAACTGGCACTGGGAGTGGGACCCGACCCCAGCTCCCAGCTCCTAGCCCCTAGCCGCTGCTGAGGGTTTCTATAGCCTGTGCATGAGGCCGCAGGTAGAGAGGGATCTGTGAGATGAGTGAACTTGGAGCTGGATCTCAGCCAGGCGGCCCTGTTACAGATTTCTTCACTTACCTCCTCTCTGAACCTTCTCACCCCTAGGGCCCCAGTGAGTTCCCTCCCTCATTATCCATTTCCACCACAGACTTCTGCCACCGTGCTTCTCTACAAAGCAAGGTCAAGTCTCACAATATTTCCCTATCTGCCTGTCCCTGAAGGATACCACAGAAGCCTTGATGTTTTCTAGAAAGTTTGCTGATAGAAAGAAAAGGAAAATAGATGGGAAGTTTAAAAAGGTAATTAATCTCTTCTGCCCTGTCCCTTTTTCATTTTGCTCCTTTTAAGTTAAAACACATACAAAACACACACACACACACACACACACGCATGCACACACGTAATAAGTGGTGGACAAAATATTCAGAGTGAAAATGTTTCCCCAGCACTTTGATAAAGGCGAGGGGAGGAAATGGAGAACTCTGGATGCTGCCCATGAAGTCCATGCTGAGGGGGAAGGGAGAGGATGTGGTGGTGAGGTAATTCTTCTCCTTCGTATGTCTATCCACACAGGTTTGCAAAGACTCAGCCTGAACTGGCATGAGCTGAAGTTGGGAGACAAAATACCGAACAAGCAGTGAGTCCTATAAGACAGACTGACTAGGGAAAGAGAAATGGGGAGGCATGTGGAAGGTTACAGGTTGGAAACTAAAATGAAGGGGCATGACTGTGCATTCACCAGTACATGAGTCGTCCTTATATCACAGTGGGCTGTCCTCTTCCAAGCAGATCCCCCCGGAGGCACACTTATCATTTATTCTGATGATTCCGGCACTATTTTTTAAATATATTTTATTGATTTTTTTACAGAGAGGAAGGGAGAGGGACAGAGAGTTAGAAACATCGATGAGAGAGAAACATCGATCAGCTGCCTCCTGCACACCTCCTACTGGGGATGGGCCCACAACCAAGGTACATGCCCTTGACCAGAATCGAACCAGGCACCTTTCAGTCCGCAGGCCAACGCTCTATCCACTGAGCCAAACCAGTTAGGGCTTCTGGCACTATTCAACTCATCGCTGAGTAGGCAGCATGGAAGTAGAGGCCTGATAATCACCATCCCAGCTAACACATAGAGTTTACTATATGGCATTGTTATTCCACGTGCTCTACATATATCAGCTCATTCCATCATCATAATTATTCGATGAAATAGGTACTATTATTGTCCTCAGATACAGAAACGGAGGCACAATAAGTTTAACTAACTTGTCCAATGTTAGACAACTAGAAAATTTAAACATAAGCAATCTGACTCCAGAATTTGTGCTCTTAATTCTACATCTGAGGTCATCTCAGGAAAAGATATTTCAGGCAGGGGGAGAAGCAAGTGCAGAATCCCTGAGGCAGAGATGAGCTTGTCATGGCTGAGATGCAGCAAGAGGCAAGCACAGAAGATGTCAGAGAGGGGGCCAGGAGTCAGATAAACAGGCGCCTTGGAATGGTGAGAACTTTCGATTTTATGCTAAGTATTATGGGAAGTAACTGCAGCGTTTTAAACAGAGAAGGGAATTTGTTTTAGAGGGATCACCCTGGCAGCTGAGAGAACAGACTGTAGTGGGTCAAAGTGAAATAAAAAGACCTACCAGGAGGCTTTTGCAATAATGCAGGCAAGAGATGATGGCAGAATGGATTAGGGAAATAGAGTTAGGGTGGTGGGAAGTAGGAAGATTCTAAATAATTCTGAAGGCATAAAAGATATGATTTGCTGACAGATTAGATGTGAGAGAAAGGAGTTGTCAAGAAGGATATCATGATACTACAATTTTTGGTCTGAGCACCTGGAAGAAGTGTAGCTATTTACTGAAAAGAGCAACAAAGGAGGAGGTGGGGATTTTGGATTTTGGGGAGGAGGTGTTAAGAGGGTTGGAATACGAATTCATTTTGACTATGTTAGGTCTAAGATACCTATTAGATATCCAAGTGGAATTTTTGAGTGAGCATTTAGATATATGAATTTAAAATTCAGGGGGAGCCCTGGCTGGTGTGGCTCAGTTGGTTGGGCATCGTCCCATATGCACCAAGATGTTGCTGGTTCGATTCCTGGCCAAGGACACATGCCCAGGTTGCAGGCTTGATCCCAAGTAGGGGACATGCAGGAGGAAGCCAATCGATGTTGCACTCTCACACCAATGTTTCTATCTCTCTCACCCTTCCTCTCTCTCTAAAAATCAATAAACTAGCCAATGTTGCACTCTCTCACACCAATGTTTCTATCGCTCTCACCCTTCCTCTCTCTCTAAAAATCAATAAACTATTCTTTACAAAATAAAATTCAGGGGGAAAGCCAGAAATTCAGGGGTGAATATCAAACAGATGGTATTTAACATCACAGGGTTGGATAAGATCACCTAGGAAATGAATGTAGATGAAGACAGCAAGGCCAGGGTTAGAGCTCCAGGGGACTCACATAACAGTAAGAGGTTGGGGAGAGGATGAGGAACTGGCAAAAAGGTAAATGAGAAAAAGCAGCCAGTAAGAGGGAGAAAAAAAGAAAAAAGAAAAAACAAAGAGAAGCACGGCTATCGTGGAAGCCAAGTAAAGAAAATGTTTTAACGAGGAAGCTGATAATATGAAAAGAGGGTTCTGTGGAGTGTTGGGGAGAAAACCTGTGTGGAGTTGTCCAAGAAAGAACAAGAGAGGAACTAGAGGCAGAAAGTACAAACAACTCTTCCGAGGGGTTCTGCTGGAAAGACGAGAACTGGAGGATGACACTGGAGGAGAATACGGGGTGGAGGGAAGGGTTCTGGGTTTGTTTTTA